TCCATACACACACACAGACTGCTGAATCCATACACACAGAGACTGCTGAGTCCATAGACACACACACACAGACTGCTGAGTCCACACACACACTGCTGAGTCCATACACACACACACACACACACAGACTGCCGAGTCCATACATACACACACGCACAGACTGCTGAGTCCAAGCACACACAGTCAGACAGACACACACACACACACTGCTGAGTCCATACACACACACACACCAGACCGGGCTGAGTCCACACACACACACACACAGACCGCCGATCCATACACACACACACACACACAGAGCTGACCCATACACACAGACCGCTGAGTCCATACACACACAGACCGCTGAGTCCATACACACAGACACACACACACAGATCGCTGAGTCCATACACACACACACAGACTGCTCAGTCCATACACACACACACACAGACTGCTGAGTCCATACACACACACACAGACTGCTGAGTCCATACAGACCCACAAACTGCTGAGTCCATACACACACAGAGACTGCTGAGTCCATACACCCACACGCAGACTGCTGAATCCATACACACACACAGACTGCTGAATCCATACACACAGACTGCTGAGTCCATACACACACACACAGACTGCTGAGTCCCCACACACACTGCTGAGTCCATACACACACAGACACACACACACACACACACACTGCTGAGTCCATACACACACACACACACACACAGACTGCTGAGTCCATACACACACACACACACAGACGGCTGAGTCCATACATACACACACACAGACTGCTGAGTCCATACACATACACACACACTGCTGAGTCCACACACACACACACACAAACACACAGACTGATGAGTCCATACACACACACACACACACACACACACAGACTGTGTGTCTGGACTCAGCAGTTTGTGTGTGTGTGTGTGTGTGTGTGTGTGTCTGTGTGTGTGTGTGTGTATGGACTCAGCGGTGTGTGTGTGTATATGGACTCAGCTGTCTGTGTGTGGGTGGACTCAGCAGTCTGTGTGTGTGTGTGTGTGTGGACTCAGCAGTGTGTATGTGTATGGACTCAGCAGTCTGTGTGTATGTATGGACTCAGCAGTCTGTGTGTGTATGTATGGACTCAGCCGTCTGTGTGTGTGTGTGTGTGTGTGTATGGACTCAGCAGTCTGTGTGTGTGTGTGGCTGGACTCAGCAGTGTGTGTGTGTGTGTATGGACTCAGCAGTGTGTGTGTGGACCAGCAGTTCGTGTGTGTGTGTATGGACTCAGCAGTCTCTGTGTGTAGCGGATTCAGCAGCTCCCTGTGTGAGTATGGACTCAGCAGTTTGTGGGTCTGTATGACTCAGCAGTCTGTGTGTGTGTGTATGGACGATCAGTCTCTCTCTCTGTGTGTGTGTGTGTATGGACTGAGCAGTCTGGTGTGTGTGTGTATGACTCAGCAGTCTGGTGCGCAGTGTGTATGTGTGTGTATGAACTCAGCAGTCTGTGTGTGTGTGTATGGACTCAGCAGTCTGTGTGTGTATGGACTCAGCAGTCTGTGTGTGTGTGTGTGTGTATGGACTCAGCAGTCTCTGTGTGTGTGTGTGTGTATGGACGCAGCAGTGTGTGTGTGTGTCGGTCTGTGTGTGTATGGAATCAGCAGTCTGTGCGTGTGTGTATGTATGGACTCAGCAGTCTGTGTGTGTGTGGATTCAGCAGTCTCTGTGTGTGTGTGTGTGTGTGTGGATTCAGCAATCTGTGTGTGTATGGATTCAGCAGTCTGTGTGTGGGTGTATGGACTCAGCAGTTTGTGGGTCTGTATGGACTCAGCAGTCTGTGTGTGTGTGTGGACTAAGCAGTGTGTGTGTGTGTGTGTGTGTATGGACTCAGCAATCTGTGTGTGTGTGTGTATGGACTCAGTAATCTGTGTATGGACTCAGCAGTCTGTGTGTGTGTATGGACTCATCAGTCTGTGTGTGTGTATGGACTCAGCAGTCTGTGCGTGTGTGTCTGTGTGTATGGACTCAGCAGTCTGCGTGTGTGTATGGACTCAGCAGTCTGTGTGTGTGTGTGTGTGTGTGTGTGTATGGACTCAGCAGTCTCTGTGTGTATGTACTCAGCAGTCTTTGTGTGTATGGACTCAGCAGTGTGTGTGTGTGTGTGTATGGACTCAGCAGTCTCTGTGTGTATGTACTCAGCAGTCTTTGTGTGTATGGACTCAGCAGTCTGTGTGTATGGACTCATCAGTCTGTTTGTGTGTATGGACTCAGCAGTCTATCAATAATAAAAATTCCTGTGAGTTGTTGTGTAGGAAGGGCCGCAGTGCGTTGCTTTGCCCAGGGGCCCTTAACTCTGTTAAAATGGTACTGCTTGTGTGTGTGTCAGTGAGCTTCTATTTAGTGAGCATGTGTGTGTCAGTGAGCTTGTCTTTAGTGAGCTTGTGTGTGTGTGTCTGAACTTCTTTGTAGTGAGCCTTCTGTTTATACAAGTGAGTGTCTGTAGTAAGCTTGTGTGTGAGTCAGAGAGTTTTGTCTGTCAGTAAGCCTATTTGCGCATGTCAGTGAGCTTGTGTGCTTACTGTACTATATATATATATATATATATATATATATATATATATATATATATATATATATATATTTTAACTTGTAGGAATGGCATACGTTTTTTTTTCCAGGGCTGCTTTGGATTCCCAGGGATTCCCAGTTTGGCTCTGCCAGCGAGTGCACTTTACCGCTGAATAATCTGTGTGAGCTGCCGCACACTTTAGCCCTGTTACACGCGTCTGGGAGCTGCTGTTGACAGGTACTAGTAGTCTAGAGATTGGGGTTTATGCTCAGCTATCTGTATAATACAGATCTGTGTGTATAAAATATCCCGGGATAGTCAGTGCTTCCTGTATAGTGCTGCTCTCTGTCTTGGGATATTATACACAAACAGACCTGTATTATACAGAGAGCAGCACTATACAGGGAGCACTGAGTGTCCCAATTTATCATACACACAACCCTGTATTATACAGATAGCACTGACTGTCCAGGGATATTATACCCAGACAGTAATTGATAGCTGTGCTGCAAAATGTCCTTGGAAATTTTTTTTCAAATGTTGGCAACTATGGCACTGTATCAAGGATAATGTGTTTGTTTTTTTAATAATTCCTGGTGGAAAATAATGAATCCTCCACCAGGTATTATTAAAAAAACAAAACACATTGTGTCGGGGGCGTGGCTTAACATGTGACAGGGGCGGGGTCAAACTGCGACGAGGGCGGGGTTAAATGTGCCCCCCTACTTTTGTCACTGGCCCTCCATGTGCCCCCCCGAAAAATGAATCCTAGAGACGCCACTGCACACAGACTGCTAAGTCCATACACACACACACA